CGGTCAACTCCACGGTGCCTATAGCAGCGGAGGTGTTCAAGAAGGCTGGTACTTACGACCCAAGGCGGTTGTTTGGTGTCACCACCCTGGACGTTGTTAGAGCCAACACGTTTGTGGTAAGCTCCCCCTGGATCCAACTCCACGTCCAGTCCACTGATGGACGTGGACTGCGGTTTTGCAGGCCGAAGTAGTGGGATTGGATCCCAAGCTCATCAGTGTCCCCGTGGTTGGAGGACATGCCGGCATCACTATCCTACCCTTGCTCTCCCAGGTGTGGTTAAGATAATTAATACCCACTCTGGTTCACGCACTTTAGCCTCTTCAGGTGACGCCGGCCATTCGTTTCTCGGACGAGGAGCGACACTACCTCACCAACAGGATTCAGAATGGGGGCACTGAGGTGGTGGAGGCCAAGGCTGGAACAGGATCCGCAACCCTTTCAATGGTGCGTACGCTTTCGCTTCATGTGCTGACACCTTGTTCTGTTGCTGTTTCGCTAGGCATACGCAGCAGCAAAGTTCGCCGACGCCTGCCTGAGAGCCTTGAAGGGAGAGGATGGCATCGTCGAGTGCTCCTTTGTTGCTTCCCAGGTCAGCCAACTAGAATGAATGAATGCCCGCATCCGAGATCACCTCCTCGTGTCTAGGTGACCGACTTGCCGTACTTTTCATCGCGCGTCAAACTGGGACGTAATGGAGCCGAGGAGATTTTGCCACTGGGGCCACTCACCGAATACGAACGGTAGGCCAACCGTTTGCATTCACAACTCACAGGGCTGTCTGCCTTGTTCGCATACAGGAAGGGCCTCGAGGCAATGAAGAAGGAGCTGCAGGGGAGCATTGACAAAGGAATACAATTTGTGACTTCAGCCTGAAAGCTAGAGGAGCTGTGATTACAGGTGCATAATAATAGACAATAAGAAACGGGAAGTCCTTAGCTACATACCAATTAGAAACCAGAGGCTTGACAACAAATGTGCGAGAGGAGCTTACGAGGCGCCCCCGGTCTGATGGAGCATGGCGTCGATTTCGTCGCCGTCTTCCATTTCCAGCTGAGAGAGACAGGCCAAGTCAGTCGGTGCATGTGGGCGCGAGGGATTACTCTACCTCCTCGGGTGTCTGGTCCGCGCGGAGCCTGCGCCCATCAAACAAAAAGGCAATCGCATCAGCTTCCACCGACTGCCTTTGGCAATAGGCGGTCATCAGCTTCCTGAACTGGGTGTTCTTCTTGATCCTAAAGAACACCTCGTTCCCATCCTAGAGGAAACAACCGCACATAAGATAGCACGGAGGGAAGAGGATTCGACAGAGGGGGCTACCTGGCTCTTCACTTTGACGTTGATGTGGACGCCCTCGGCGGGCTTCTGCTCCTGCTTCTCCGCCTGCGGCGTAGCTGCGTCCTCCGCTTGCGACATAGCTCCCCCTCTCGCCACAAACCCTAGTCGTATTATGAGTTGGACTAGACACTCTTTAAAACAAACAAGAGAGCCGCAACGGGGGCGACAAGGGCCACGGCGAAGACTGTGTCCTCGACCCGCTTCTTCTGCATGATGCTCTTGAACGGGACATGCGACCACAGCAGCTGATACGAAGTCCTGACTCCAGAGCAATGCATCAGCGAGAGAGGCTCAGCTACAACAAAGACACTTACCGTCCAAACAAGCCGGGTAA